GGGAGCCGAGGCGGGAGCCTCGCCGGAGCCCCGAGGGCCTCGGCCAGCCTGGGCGACGCGGCCAGACCTCGTCTCCACAACAAGCCAACGAACTAGGCGGGCGTGGTGGTGCACGCCCGGAGTCCCAGCCACGGGGCGGCAGAGCAGGGAGGGCCGCCTGAGCCCAGGGGCCGAGGCTGTGGTGAGCCGCGACTCCGGTCTGAGCACCAGAGTGAGACCCCAAATCAAAAATGAACATGAAAAAGAAATAGACCCCAGTGGCCAGGCCTGTAATCCCAGCATCCTGGGAGCCAAGGTGGGAGGATCACTTGAGCCCAGAGGTCCCCGACCAGCCTGGACAGCACGGCAAGACCTCGTCTCTACACCAAGACAACAAACTAGACAGGCGTGGTGGTGCACGCCTGTAGTCCCGGCTACTGGGAGGCAGAGGAGGGAGGACTGCCTGAGCCCGGGGAGTCGAGGCTGTGGTGCGCCGTGATCGTGCCACTGCACTCCAGTGTGGGCACCAGAGTGAGACCCCAAATCAAACATGAACAGAAAAAAGAAAGAAACCCCAGAGTCTGTGGGGCCATTATTCCCCCAAAAGGAGGCGATTCCACCTTTCTCTAGGGGCCTCTTGGCCCCATCACATGCCCGCTGTCATCAGCACACAGACTTTGGGTCCCGGAGCTGAGACCTGTTTAACGCTCTGGCCCAAACATCATAAAAACACCCCCCACCCCATAGCCGGCCGTCAGTCCGAGAGAGCGAGCTCTGGACTTTCAAAGGGCCGATGCAACCACAGGGGCAAATGAACACAGGAGCCGCTGGGAAATCAGCCAGCAAAGACAGACTCGGAATCAACCAGACTGCCACTTCCCTCCCGGGACCTAGGGCCCTCTGTCCCTGAGCTGTTGAGTGACACCGTCTGTACGGCCTTTCTACCCACGTCAACCCAGGCTGACCCTCCGGGCGCCAGGCGGCACTGCCACAGGCCTTGGGAACGCCCCCCGGCCCTGCGCCTAGGTGTCGCACCCGCCCCCTGTCATGAAGACACAGAGCACGAAGGCTGTCCGCTCCAGGGGCCCTCCTGGCGAGACGGCCAGGCAGCAGAAGGCAGGCTGGGGTCCAGGCTCATCGGAGGGGTGCTGCCAGGATGCCCACGCTGCAGGATGAGGCACAGGAGGGAGTGACCTCCTGGGATTCCACAGCCTGGGGCAGGAGCTGAGACGGGATTCCCTGGACACCGACCCCTGCCCTCCTGGACTGCAAGAGCCAGGCTGCCCGTGTGTCGCCCAATTTTCTTTTTTCTATTTTTTTTTTGAGTTGGAGTCTCACTCCGTCGCCCAGACTGGAGGGCAGCGGCCGCTCCC